GAGAGAGAGAGAGAGAGGAATCCCGCCTGTCAGTAGGTTAACTAGCGGCGGGATTTCACCGCAGCTCGCATATCCCGACACGTGGCGCTTTTCAGCGCACTGATGTGGCCACGTGGCACTTCGCCGAATAAACAAATCCAATGAAACCGGGACGAGGAGGAGGAGGAGAAGGGGAAGAAAGGAGGAGGAGGAGGAGGAGAAGAAAGGAGGAAGAGAAGGAGAAGAAGAGAAGGAGAAGAAAAGAGGAGGAGGAGGAGGAGGAGGGGGAGGAGGAGGAGAAAGGAGGAGGAGGAGGAGGGGGAGAAGGAAGGAGGAGGAGGAGGAGGAGGAGGAGGAGAGGAGAAGAAGAATAGGAAAGGAGGAGGAGGAGGAGGAGGAGGAGGAGGAGAGGAAGAAGAAAAGGAAGGAAAGAGGTGGAGGAGGCTTCACGACAATGGCAACGGCAGCTTCATGGGCAGCGACGACGAGGAGGGCTTCTCGATGAGGCAGCTCGATGGAGACAGATGGAGACAACGATGGGAAGCTCGACGAAGACGGGCGGGCTTCACGACTGCAGCGACGATGGGCGGGCTAGCGATGATGGGCGGCTTCGCGACGGCAGCGACGACGGGCTTCACAACAGGGAATACCGCATTCAAATTTGAACGCGGCATCGTAGCCCGCGAGAGGGGGAAACGATTTCTTGGCGGCTAATCTCAGCCGAAAACCTCGCTCCTCCCCCGCAAACTACTTGTACATTGTCGTAGATTCAGAAAAAAAAATTTACCTGGTGTCGCCAGAGGCTGGGGAGGCGACTAGTAGCCAAAAAAGGCCTCCCCCGCCCCTTGCGCGAAATTGTGCTGGCCTCGCACGACCCCAAACCGGGGGACCCAACTGGCCGGGCCGCCCGGGACCCCTGGCGGACAAAGACCAGGCCACCGGACGGTCCGGAGTTTAACACAGGTCAACAGACCAAAATCGCTGAAAATAAAGTAAACACACAAACATACGGTGCCTGAAGGAAACAAACCAAGGCCCGAACTACTCTCCGTGGCCCTAGAGCTGCCCGGAATGTGGGTCGTGTGGCCTCAGGGTCCTCAGGTCGGAAGTCGGGCCCCTAGGGATCATGTGGGAGGCCTATGCATGCCACACTCCTCTGCCATCAGACAATGACAAGTGTCCAAGAAGCATTTTAGAGAGCACTAACAGTGTAGTCCCAAGTGGGAATATAACCTATACCACATTCTTCAGGGGTTGGGCTGCCATTTGGTCGGCTGGTGATAAATTGCATCAGCAGCCTTTGCTGCGTTACCGGCCTCCGAAACTCGTGGTGCCTCGGCCGCGGCTGATGTATGGTAAAGGTAGTGGTGGTTTAAATGGGCAGCTTTTTCCCTGAAGCATGTTTCACAATAGCAGCTCATCGAATGTCCCAACCTCTTTGATGCAGCCTTTCCTGCACGGCAGGCCCCTGACTGGTAAATTGCTACTTCACTCTTGAACAACATAATCTTACCAGCAAGGAACGAAGAGTGGCAAGGACAACGAAGATGTCAGCCGTCTGAAGTGACCTGCCAGACACACCTCCAACTTCATCACATCCCGGTCCACTCACTCAACCTCTCAACTCCCAATGAAGCGAAACAAACGTTAGAGAGAGCAGCAGCAGAAGCACAAGGGCAAAATCCTGCTGACAGCAGCAGCTGCAACAGCAACAGCGAAGGGGAGCAGCATCAGCAGCAGCAGAAGAAGAAGACGATGACGAAGAAGAAGAAGCAGAAGAAGAAGAAGAAGAAGAAGAAGAAGAAGAAGAAGAAGAAGAAGAAAAAAAAGAAGAAGAAGCACAAGAAGCCTGCGGGGAGCAACATTGGCAGAGCAGAGCGGTGGCAGGAGCCGGAAAAGGCAGCGTCAGTGGTGACTGCTGCAAAGAGAAGCAGCAGCACAAGACAAGGAAATGAGTGTGGGGAGGGTCACAAAGTGGGTGGGGCGGAGTCGGTTGGGTGAGGGAGGAAGGCTGGGGGGAGAGTCGCTCAGTAGGGTGGGGGGGGGAGTTGACTGGGGGACGGAGGAAGGTCACTAAAGAGTGGCAGGAGAGCCATGCAGGAAGTTACGAGAGGGTCAAATGCTGGTTGTGTACGAGTCACGTCATGGGTTGGGGAGATCATGTGGTGGGCAAGAGTCACCAAGTCTGTGAGGGACAGTCGTGTGGAGGGGGAAAGATCCCTGGATGGTGCAGGGAGAGTTGCACAAGGACTGTCAAGAAGGGGCCGTGGTGAGGAGGAAGATGGGTGGGGGTGGGCGTGGGGGCATTGTCATGCTTTGGTGTAGGAGAGAATTACATTGGGGAGCGGTGGGGTTAGCCACGCAGGGTAGAAGTAGGGAAATTGGCAGAACTAGGGGGAATTCACATAGTGGGTGGGGTCGAGTTACATGGGAGGGGGGAAGGTCGATGTGGAGTAGAGGGAAGGGTGGATGGCTGAGGGGCCAGATCCGGTAAATAGGAGAATGAGGACTGCATCTTTCAGGGAACATTTTCGTGCTTGCGAATCAGGGAGGAGGAAGAAGACGACAACAAAGACGTAGAAGCGAATCACTAGCCACAGAGAAGGTTCTCCTCTCTTTCTTTCTCATGATGTGTGTGTGTGTGTGTGTGTGTGTGTGTGTGTGTGCGTGTGTGTGCGTGTGTGTGTGTGTGTTACATGTTGTTAACCAGGGGTGTAATTATCGGCGAATTTTGCACCGAAACTGTCACATTGTGCTGATTTCTTGCTTTGTTCTTGTTTTTCTTTTTGTGTGACATATATGTCCTTTAGGGTACGTCATGTGTCCAGTTTTTACATGTTTGTGCCACCTGTTAACCATCTCTCATATGTGTGTGTGTGTGTGTGTGTGTGTGTGTGTTTTCGTAAACTGTCACCATAACAACCCCTTTTTTGAAGTTTTTTCCACCCAGATGAGCAGATCCAGAATTGAAACAGCTTTACTTCTGTAGCAAACAACATGAAGCACACAAAAAATGTTCTATTGCCTTTTCCTTGTACAGCAGTGTTGCACCCGCCGACCGTCGGCGGGCCTCGACCGGTCGGCCCCCGACCAGCCGACCGACCGACCGGTCGGCGGCCGACCGATCGGCGGGGTCGGGGTGCCGCAGTTTCGTGCGGCGGCGCGCCCCGCCCGATAGGCCCCCTTTTCGGCAGCGGGGTGGTTTTCGGTTGTCGGGGGTCGGCCTGGGAGGCCGCCGACCGTGCTCACCGACTTTTCCACAGTCGGTGGCCTTCAAAAGAGTGTGGCTGCCCACACTCTCCCCAATCTCGTGCTGTGGGATTCGTCGGGCCGCCTGGTGAAGTGGGGAGAGTGCAGGCAGCTTGGAGATCGCCACGGAAGAGCTTCGTGGGGGGACTGCTGCTTCGACAGTGGTGTGTGTGTGTGTGTGTGTGTGTGTGTGTGTGAGAGAGAGAGAGAGAGAGAGAGAGAGAGAGAGA